CTCCCCAACCACAAGACACCACCACAGCAGGGAGGGGGAAGCAACCCACAACCACCCCACACCACAGGGAGGGGGAGGAGGAACCATTGGGGGGGGGAGGGGGGGGGGGCCGGCCGAACCGGGATCATATATATATATATGTATATATAATCTCTCTCTATATATATATATAGTACCCACTGGACCCTGTTTATAGAACCCATGAGAACCCTAAAGGTACCCTAAACCCTAAACCCTAAACCCTAAACCCTAAACCCTAAACCCTAAACCCCAAACCCCAAACCCTAAACCCTAAACCCTAAACCCCAAAGGTACCCTAAAAGGGGCCCCCCCCCCTACTCGAGGGAGCCTCTGGCCGACCCACCAGGGACGCTAACTGCTGCAAGACCTCAGCCGTCTGCGCGGCTTCAAGGCTTAGGAATTTAGGGCTTAGGGTTTAGATAGGGTTTAGGTTGGTTGGTTTAGGGTTTAGGGTTTAGGGTTTAGGGTTTAGGGTTTAGGGTTTAGGGTTTAGGGTTTAGGGTTTAGGGTTTAGGGTTTAGGGTTTAGTCGGAATTAGGGTGCTTTGTTAGGTTTATAATGGCGCTTTTAGGGTTGTCGTCGGTTCAAGGCTCTAGGCTTAAAATTGGGGGTTGGGGTTTAGGATTTAGGGTTGAGGTTAAGGGTCCAGGAACTAGGGTTTAGGCTTTAGGATTTAGGGCTAAGGGTTTATCACCGAGGGTTCAGAATGGTTCAGATTTTTTAAGGTTTGAAGGTGTTGCATGTGTAAGACCTCCTCCCATACACAAAACGATGCACTTTGGGCTGGGGAATCCAGCAATGTTGCCTGTTTGGGTTGCTCGGCGAGTGCGGCGACTGTTCGGTTTGCTATGTCTATCAGCATACTTGTTGGAATCCCCTGAGATCTTCGGGTGCGACCACAGATCATGCTACTAAAAACGTTGAAACCCTAAACCCTAATCACAGAAGTCTTGACGAGATCCAGGAGTTCAGGTCATCTCAAGTCCACAAGCCGCTGGAGCTGTGGCGTTAATCATCGAGTTCTACTAGCTTCATATACTGGAAGCTGTGGCTTGAAGCAGAGACGAAGTAGGAGTAGTCATCGTTGTTTGAGTACCTATAGTCTCCATTGTACTTTGGGGATACCTTATAAAATCCTGAATATATACTTGGTTAAACCAAAAAAGGGAACTACAATGGAGACTATAGGTAAGCATGGAGACGGAAGGGGCGCAGGTACAGAGGTGGCACGGCAAGCTTGTTTCTCTCTAGAGCCATCAGCACCACTCAGAGCCATGGTGATGGCACAGATCTGCCCATATGCAACTTGGTTATGTATACATATGCCCACATCTTAGATAGCGAGCGGCCACGTGCAAGTACACAAGGATTTCGGAAAGATCGAAAGAATCAGGACGGGGCGCTTCCCACTGGCATCAATCACAAGCTGATGTGCCAATCAGACCGTGGAGGTCTCCAACCCGTGCAAGTGTGTCAGAAGCTGTGAACGCAATGTGGGGGTTTCCGAAAATAGGGGACCCTAATATAGTACCCTAAATAGTAAGATCCTTTTTATAGGGACGCCAAAATGAAGTACCCTAATTTTATGAAACTCCCATGTGCCACCAGACACAGCATAGGCAGAAGATTGCCTGTGACGGCTCATCTTTGACAGGCGCACAGTATGTCTTGTGCCATATTTGCGCAAGGCTTCGCGTACGTCTTCCAAACTTCCCTGTCCTAAGGTCACATGATAAGGCTGACCTTCCCAGCAAGTACCACTCAACGTGTGTGGTGGCGTGATGTTGGGAAGGCCTTCATGTCCTGCCCTGTTGAAGATCGCCAAGAAGTACTCATCATCCCGCCGTGCGTCTCGGAAAACACCCGCACCTACGGTGACTGTAAAGGTGCGGGATCTGTCGATGTAATTCTTGTCATGCCACTTGGCAATGGCGACAGATTGAACGGTCTTGTTCGGCGAAGGCTTGTCAAACTTCCTCAGTTGTGCAGGCCCAAGACTCAGAACAATTGATCGTTGAGCTGCGACTTGTACGAACCAACAATGCTTACTGCCTACAGGTTCAGCTGTTATGCCAACTAAGCCTCCTTCTGTAAACAAGAATTCCCGTCTCGCCTCTTTCGCACTGGGTCTTCTTGTAGCCGCAGCAACATTCAATGGCTCCGGCTGCCCAGGAGCAGATGCAAGTCGGATCCGAGGAGAGCTGGACTCCAGTTGCGCCCGACATGAACCCCAACGAGGTGGCCAATAGAGGTCTAAGTGCCAATATACATTTCATATACTTTGAGGGCCAAAATATCCACAGTACTTGCAATCAGACCATGTGGGAAGAACAGGGCTGTGCTTCATCATTGTCGCTCGAAGCACTGCCAGTCTGAGCCGCTTGCCACGTCCAAGCTTTGGCGCACGTCCACCTGGTGCTCCAGGCGCTAGTAGCATTAGGATTCGAAACCCTATGAACCCTGAACCCCAAACCCCAAACCCTATAAACCCTAAACCCTATATACCCTAAACCGTAAGCCCTAAACCCTATAAAGCCCTAAACCCTAGAAAGCCCTAGACCCTAAACCCGGATCAAGGGCGTGGATCCGAGGACCTTCTAAGTGTCAGTGTCGTACCACGTACAGGAGTTTAGCGTATGAGTTTTAAGGTGCATTATTACGGTTTAGGGTTTTTACGGTTTAGGGCGTAGGGTTTAGGACAAATCCCGTGGGCCCGGATAAGTTTAGGGTTTAGGGTTTATTACAGATCCCGTGGGCCCGGAAAAAGGGTTTAGGGTTTAGGGTTTATTACAAATCCCGTGGGCTCGGAAAAGGGATCCTAAGCCGATCTGTTTTCTGAGGAGCCCGATATAATATAATTGAGGCATTTTTAACAAACCCCCCAGCCGGGGGGTTGAGGCGGAAAACACGCGGAGTGAGAAGATTTAGCTAAAGATTGGGGCTGTAGGGCTTGAAAGTTTGCAGATTTACCATGCCACGAAAGCACGAGTAAGACGGATAGCACAGATCATGCCAAAAGCATAGCTGCGGGCTGCAGCTGTACATGAGCCTCAACCCTGAAGGCCTCTAGCCTCAAACCCCAAACCCGAAACCCTAAACCCTAAACACCCAAACACCTAAACCCTAAACCCTGAAGGCCTCTAACCTCTAACCCCAAACCAAGGTATCCAACACCTGGAACTGCCTGCACCTCTGAACCATCTCCAGCGCCTCCAGCCAAAAAGGAAAAGCACGACCCGAAACCCGCAAACTGCAACCCCAGAGCAGTACAACCCGGTTTCGGGTTTAGGGTTTAGGGCAAACAGCCTTAGAACTCCACCCCAAATTAACACAACAAAAAGCGAGCACCTAAACCCATAAGCCGTGCCTGGAACCTTAAAAACCAGGTAATTTGGGGCTTACAGTCAACCCGAAGCGCTAAACCCTTAGACCCGAAGCCCTGCATCTCTAAACCCTCAAACCAAAAACCCGGAAACCCCCCAAAACCCCTAAGCAAAAACCTCACCCTCGAAAGCGAAACCGCTAAACCCTTAAACCATAAACCATGAAATCCCCAAAACCCCTAAGCAAAAACCTCACCCTCGAAAGCGAAACCGCTAAACCCTCAAACCATAAACCATGGAAACCCCCAAAACCCCTAAGCAAAAACCTCCCCATCGAAAGCGAAACCGCTAAACCCTCAAACCATAAACCATGGAAACCCCCAAAACCCCTAAACAAAAACCTCCCCATCGAAAGCCAAACCGCTAAACCCTTGAACCATAAACCCTGAAACCCCCCCCCCCCAACAAAAAAAAAAAACGAAGCACAAACCTCCCCTTCGAAAGCGAAATGGCGCACCTCGATGGAATCTTCGGGGCTTTTGTTCTGGCTGGCGCCCTGGCTCTCCCTTGTCAGGTAGGCCTGAAGGGTTTAGGGTTTAGGGTTTAGGGTTTAGGGTTTAGGGTTTAGGTTTAGGGTTTAGGGTTTAGGGTTTAGGGTTTAGGGCTCTCCCTTGTCAGGTAGGCCTGAAGTTACCCATAGGCCCTAAAGTAGTTCCTTTTTGGGATTACCTTACAGGATCCTAAATATGAACCCCAAAAAGGAACTACTGTGGGGCCTATGGGTAGGGCTTAGAGGGAGTCGTCGTAGGGCTTTTGTCAGAGTTTATGGGGCCATTATAGGGTTTAGGGTAATGCTTCGTTTCTAGGGCTCTGTAAGGCTATGAGAGGCTTCAGAAGTGCGGCATTTGCGTTGCTCAGGGTTTTGAACAGCAGGCAATCATTAACCCCTGCACTGGTAGTCGCGGCAATGTAAAGGTGTAGACACACATCATGCATTTACATATTTTATAAGCTTATATACATGCGTATACACACAACACTAACTTGATACCAGTAGATGGGGTTAGGGTTTAGGGTTTAGGGCTTTGAAGAGTTTCAGATGTACAGCTGTATCTGTGAATGGGTTCCTCTGTTGGGCTTATACCTCTCGCCCTAGAATGCAGCGGTCATCGGTTACTGCGCCGTATTGTAGGGTCTGGGGGAGCGAGAGGTATGGACTTAGCATGATTTAATGATACGTGGGTATAGGCAAAGGATTCGGGTTGGGGCGCAGGTTTATTTTATCGAGGCCGGCTAGGGGTTGAAGCTCGAAGCAGCTAAACCCTAAAACCCTAAACCCTAAAACCCTAAACCCTAAACCCCTAAAGCCCCAAACCGCCGATGTCCGGAGTCTTGTCCGTCTCCTTCCGGCATCGATTCTTGGCCAATTCTGTCTTATCGTTGGCCTTTTCGTGTTTAGGGTTTAGGGTTTAGGGACTTCCCCAATAAGCCAGGGAAATAAAAGGTTAAACTCTCAGATTACTATTAAGTCTTAAGTTATAAGAACCCCAACAGTTTAAAGGTTGGGCATTGGGGAACTCAGTTTCGCCGTCGAATGCAGGGACAGCTTGCTGCTTCCCAGCTTTCTGCGGGGCTTTAGAGATCAAGGTTTAGTGTTTAGGTGGGTTTAGGGGTTTAGGGTTTAGGGTTTAGGGTTTATAAGGTAGCCCTTAGCCCAAGCTAAACTCCTAAACGCCTACAGTAGAACCGGAAAGTTGGGACATGCACCCTCATGCCCTTGAGGCAAAGTACCCATGTTCCAACTTTCTGGGGTACACGTTCGGTTTGAAGACCCCTGGGGGTTAGCTCCATACCCCTAAACCATATGGGTAGTTCTCTAAAGTGGAGTCCCTTTTAGGTCCCCAATACAGTACGGCACCCTTATAACAAGCCCTCATTTAGATAACTACCCATATCGTAAAAGAACGCCAAAAGTGAAGCCTCAACCCTGAGCAGAGAGACAAGAAACCAGATCGGGCCTTGAACTCGTCAAAAGAGACGACGCCGTCCTGCGACGTGTCCAAGTCCTGCAATGCCTCGCAGCTGCCAGGAGACTTTATTTGAGGAATTGGGGTTTAGGAGACTTTATTTGAGGAATTTGGGTTTGGGGCTTAAGTCTTAACTTCGAGTCATACTGCTCAATTTGGCATTTGGGATTTAGGGCCCGTTCGGTTTATAGTCATGGGCCTGAACAGTTTAGGATTATTGGGCACATGGACCCGTCGGGCAAGCATTACCTGCAAACCCTGAATACCAAAATGAAAAAGCCGAGGCGAACATTGAAGAAAGGCCTAAAGCCTGCATCCCAAACCTAACTCAAGAATAACAAAAATAGCAATAATAATAGCAAAAAGAATAGTAGTAGCAGTAGAGGTAGCAGCAGTGGTAGCAGTAGCGGCAGCAGTAGCGGTAGCGGTAGCGATAGCCGCAGTAGTAGTAGTAGTAGTAGTAGTAGTAATAATAATAGTAGTAGTAGTAGTAGTAGTAGCAGTAGCAGTAGTAGTAGTAGTAGTAGTAGTAGTAGTAGTAGTAGTAGTATGAGTAGTAGTTGTAGCAGTAGTAACAGTAGTAGTAGTCGTCGTAGT